GGGGGGTCGGGGTGGAGGGGGGGCAAGGGGGTGCGGGTGGAGGGGGGTCGGGGTGGGGGCGTCGGGGTGGAGGGGGGGCAAGAGGGTGCGGGTGGGGGGTCGGGGTGGGGGGTGTCGGGGTGGGGCAAGGGGGTGCGGGTGGAGGGGGTCGGGGTGGGGGGTCGGGGTGGAGGGGGGCAAGAGGGTGCGGGTGGAGGGGGTCGGGGTGGAGGGGGGCAAGGGGGTGCGGGTGGAGGGGGGTCGGGGTGGAGGGGGGGTCGGGGTGAAGGGGGGTCCGGGTCGAGGCTGAGGTCACGGGGTGGAGGGGGTGGGCGCTCCCCGCACAGCCCCCCCCCCCCGCCCTGCGCGGCCCCCGCCCCCGCCTCCCGGTGCAGTCCAGGGCCCGGCTCCGGCCGCGCGGTCACCCAGCGCCGCCAGGGAGGGCAGCGCAGGCCCGGGCGGGGGGTACGCCGCTGCCCCCCGGTGCCCCCGCCGCAGCCCCCGCCGCTGCCCCGCCCCCTGCCCCCGGCCCCGCGCCCCCGCGCCCCCCGCGGCCCCGCCCCCTGCACTCACCGCCCGGCGCCGTCCGACCGGGCCGCAGAGGCGGCCGCGCATGCGCAGCTCCGTGGGGCGGGGCCTGGCGCGGTCGGGCGGAACCACGGGCGGGGGGGGCGCGGGCGGAACCACGGGCGGGGGGGGCGGAGCGCGGGTCCCGGGCCTGAGGCTGCCGGGGCGGGGACCCCACCGGCCCTGGATGCGCCGGCCCCGCAGTCCGCGTGCCCGGGTCCCCGCCGCAGGCTCGGGCAGCCGTGGGGGGGCTCCCGGCGGGTCTAGGGCGGGTCTAGAGCGGCCCCGCCGCCCCCGGCGACCGCGGACACGGGAGCACCGAGGGCCGGGCCAGGACGGGCGCCGCCGCCGCGCAGGTCGGCGCTAGGCCTGAGGGGGGCGGGGCGCGGTCTCCCCGGGACACGCGGCGGGGACGCAGCCTCCGGGGTTCCCCCTGCCCCGCGGGACCGGCCCCCCGAGCGGCCGCAGGTGCTCCGAGGCCCGGGGGCGCTGCCAGCCGCAGGCCCTGGCCCCTGAGCACCCTCCCGCCTCTTCTTTCTTTCCTGCTGGACACTTTGTATCTTTATGAGCTTATTTTACTGGTTATTTCCTGTGTTTTCAGGCCAAGACGTGACCTGCACGAGGGGGCTGGGGGTCCCGTTGGCCTCTCCTCCCCCGCGCCCAGCGAGTGTCTGCGGGGCCGCGGGGGGGCGGGGACGGGGGGCGCAGGGGGGCCGCGGGGACGGGGGGGCGCGGGGACGGGGGGGCGCAGGGGGGCCGCGGTGGGGCGGGGACGGGGGGCGCAGGGGGGCCGCGGTGGGGCGGGGACGGGGGGGCGCAGGGGGGGCGGGACGGGGGGGCGCGGGGACGGGGGGAGCGCAGGGGGGCCGCGGGGGGGCGGGGACGGGGGGCGCAGGGGGGCCGCGGGGGGGCGGGGACGGGGGGGCGCGGGGACGGGGGGCGCAGGGGGGCCGCGGGGGGGCGGGGACGGGGGGCGCAGGGGGGGCGGGGACGGGGGGGGGGCGCGGGGACGGGGGGGGGGGCGCAGGGGGGCCGCGGGGGCTCGGGGGCTTCCAGCCGGAGGGGTGCGTGGGCCACGCGCTGCACCGCCCTTCCGCCCCCCCCCCCCCGCCCGACGGGCCCTCAAAACCTTTATTGAACCGAGTTAAAACTGAGACAGACCCCGAGACACAGGCATGTGTCTTGATTTTCCTTCCCCTGTGGCTGTTGACGGTAACCACAGACTCCCCTGGCTCTGGGGCCGATTTGGGCATAAAATAAGTAAGTTCTAAAAGCCCTTTCAAAATAAAGTACCATGAACTCATCATGCATCCTCAGCACGCGAGGAAGAAGGTTCACGTGTGCGTTCCCGCCTCGGAGCTCAGCTCCGTCTGATGGGTGCCCTCTGATGGGTGCCCGCCGGCTCCAAGCGGAATCTGCAGGAAGCACAGCCTGCTGCTGAGCCTGCGGGCCTCGCGGGTCACCTCCTCTGTCCTGCCCACTGTGCCACCTTAGAAGTAAGATGCTGAGGCTCAGAAATACCCAGCGACAACGTGCTCATTCACACAGGCCAAAAATTCCTCAGCTAGAGCTTAGATATTCAAGGATTGCACCTTTGTGCTCTCCCATCTTAAAAACACAGCGATGGAGCCAGTCGTTACAGGTATAACTGGCCATAAATGACCAGGTGGAACTGAGACGTCTGGGGGAGATGCAGGACCCACTGGACTCTCCTCCCCAGTGGGGCCCCTGCGTGTGGGGCCGAGCACCTGCCCCCTCCCTCCTACAGTCCCAACAACAAGACATAACTGGGCGTGAGGTGCCCTGGCAGGTGCTTTCTGGAAATGGTACATTCAGACTTCTCATGGGTCTGGCACAGCCTCAGATGCTCGTGGGCGGACCTGCATATTTCCTGGATAAGGAAACCAAGGTTTGGCCTGTGTAAGGCCAAATAACTTGTCTAACTACCCTCAGCAGCTAAACAATGAAGCTGAGTTTTGAAATACTATGCAATGAGGTATGTGGAGGCGATCAAAATGAGTTTTTTTTTAGAGGAGGTGGGAGGGACAGTTTTAAGATCCCTTCTCCTTTCTTGTTTTTTTCAGATTTTATTTATTTATTCATGAGAGACACAGGCAGAGGGAGAAGCAGGCTCCCTGCAGGGAGCCCGACATGGGACTCGATCCCGGGTCTCCAGGATCACGCCCTGGGCTGAAGGCAGGTGCTAAACCGCTGGGCCACCAGAGCTGCCCTCCCTTCTTCTTTCTGACCAGGTTAACAATACATGCTCATTGTTTGCTTGGTTACGGAAAAAAACAGATTTTTAAAAGACATTAGCAGGTGGCTGGTGTGATCTTGCCCTTTCTGCCTACTTGTAAAAACCAGGTGGGATGACCAAGTACGCACAGGGAGAGTGGGGAGACTTTAGATCCACATGGTTCTCACCAGAGAACGTAGTTAGCTCTGCAGCAGAGATACTCCAAACAACACTGTAAAGTCTCGGGCCCTGGGTCATGATCTGCAGACCACAGATGGGAAACAAACAGCATTCTGGGGACGTCTGCACCTCTGATGATGAGATGCTCGGCCCAGCTGCCATGGAGACACTCCCCGGTGGGCTCCTCTAACCCCAGAGGCCAGACCTGGGGCTGCCCAGCTGTGTGTCCCTCCACCTAGATCCTGGCACCCTGGCTGGCTTCAGCAAGAATGCTGTTGGGCTGGTCCAGTAGGAATGGCCCAGCCTTGGTGCTCCCATCTACCAGCACCGGTCATGCGCCCCCACTCTTCCTGGGGTGCTCATAGCTCAGCCCTCCTCCCAGTGCAAAGCCCACAGCAGGTGGCAGTTTCCTGAATAAAATCCACATCAACATTCTTTAACAAATGTCACGGATAACATTTTCTTCCAGAAGTATGGCAAAATGAAAATTTTTTAGAAAGACAAAAACCCGTGTCAAAGAAAAGTGCATTTTCTTGGAATCATTCCTGTTCAAATGAGTCTTCATTGTCTCCACCTCTTTCTTCTGAGAAGCATATTTCAGAACCACAACCCGTGGTGCCTACGGCTCTCGTCCAAGATTTTCAGAGGGCTCTGAACTTGGAGCCTTTACTTCCACTGGTGTTGTGACCTTGGAAAGTTTGAGTAATGTCTCTGAGCCACAAACATAAAGACAAGGTTGGTGGAAGTCTCTTGGAGCACCAGGGCCTCTGCCACTTGAGTGCTGGCTACACCAAGGCAGGGCTCTCTGTAACACCAAGAGCTTCAAGCTAATGGCTTTAATTATCTTGGCAAAGAATCTTTAAGTCTCAGTTGGCTAAACACATGATCATAAAACCAGCATTAAAAAATAATGCCTTGGGACGCCTGGGTGGCTCAGCGGTGAAGCGTCTCCCTTTGGCTCAGGTCATGACCCCGGGGTCCTGGGATCGAGTCCTGCATCGGGTTCCCCACGGGGAGCCTGCTTCTCTCTCTACCTGTGGCTCTGCCTCTCTCTCTATGTCTCTCATGAGTAAGTAAATAAAATATAGATAGATGATAGATAGATAGATAAATGATAGATAGATAGATGATAATAGATTGATAGATGATAGATGATAGATAGATGATAGATAGATAGATAGATAGATAGATAGATAGATAAGCCTTGATAAAGATGATGTTTGTTCAAGGGCTGGGAAGCCAGGCTGTTCTCCAGGGGCCTGCCCACCCCTCCCGAGGGGACATCTGGCAAGGTGGACACAGCTGGGGGGTGGGGGTGCGGTGCTTCCAGCTGGTGCTGGTGCTGGAGGCGTTGCCGTGGCTCCCTGCGCACAGACCAGCACCCACAACCCAGGAACGCAATAGTGCAGAGGTCAGAAACCAGATGCAGCCCGAGGATCCGCCTCCAGTTTCAAACTCAATCAGGAGCAGAGAGGCTGCCCTCCCCACCCCCAAGCCGGTCTGGCCAGTTCCCTTCCTGAAATGGCATCAGAAGGTTCTGGGTGACCTGAAGGATACAGTGCGACTTTGAGAAATATTTAACTCCTATCAGCAGATGGATGGAATCCCTGGGATTTTTTTTTTTTTACCTTAAGTACTAGTTAAGCAACAAACGTACAGGCTTAAAACTTGCCGTCTCTCCCCACTACACGAAATCTAATGCACTTTGGAGATCACAGTGGGGCACCCAGGTGGTGCAGTCGGTTGAGTGTCTCTGGAATTCAGTTCAAGTCATAATCTCAGGATCCTGAGATCAGTGAGGAGCCTGCTTGAGATTCTCTCTCCCTCCCCTTCTGCTCCTCCCCCTGTCCCCCTCCTCGTACCCACCCCCTCAAATAAATAAATAAACCTTAAAAAAAATAAAATATATATATGTATATAAAAGAAAATGAAATTCAGTGTGTTTAAAAAGGTGGATAAGATGTTAGGAAGCAGGCAAATCCCAAAAGTGGCACACCAAGGAGGCTGGTTGTGAAATTGCCTGAGAAATAGACCTTACCTGAGAGCTTTCTCTCCCATCGACCACCTGGCAGCTGTACTGAGTGTAGATGTAGAGGCAGGAGGGGTAACTGAGATCAGCGGGCCGGACGCTGCCAGCATCAATCAGGAAACACACCTCCAACTCCCGGTCTCTTGTCCTTGAACTAAATGGAGGCCCTAGTGAGGGAGCCTCCCAGTGCTCCCCTGCTCACCAGGGCGTGTGGGGCCCCAGGAACCACATGACATCCCCCTGGACCTGGGCACTGCCTCCTCCTCCAACTATCATCATGACCTGGCAGGCATGGGAGCAGGACTAAGTCACTGAACACGAAGAGGGTGGCACTCCCATTGGCTCGGGATGCCCATCGTCGCCCCACGGGAGGCTGGTGAGGTGGCCTTGGGCTGACGCCTGGCCCTGGCGGCAGCAAACCAGTTCCTGCAGACAGCGCCGGTCACACAGCCCGGGTGAGTTCAGACTCGAGTGACCCGTCTTCCTGGGTGCAACATGCCAGGGCCACGCTGGTGTGTAGGCGGAGGCCACCACGCCTCTTGAATGCAAGCAAGTGCAAAGGGCTTGCTTTATGTGGGCGCTCTGGCAAGAAGACTTTTTGCCCATTTCTACCCATAAATCTTAACCGTGAAAGTCAGTTCACTAATGAAATTCTCATTAGTACACAATGTATGTAAAGAAAATAGAGTGGCCTGTGCTTGTGATTACAAATACCAAGACCAGAGAGATTAATCTTCAGCTGGTTGCCATACTGTCGGAAACAATGCTGCCGAGCATGCACGGCTTGTGTTCATAAAGTGTGTTTCATAAACATTATTTACTCGAGTATGTGCTCAAATAATATTAATTAAAATGAATAAGTGAACACGTTTCTGTTAACCTTGACACATTCCAAGAGGGACAGAGATAAGGCTCTGAAGTAGAATGTGTTCTCAAGCGACAAGATTAATCTTCTTTGAATCATTATGCCCATTACGTTCGTGCCTCAAGCCCATGTCTTACTTTCTATGTTTCAAGATGTGTCGGTAGGTGGGGGCCTGACAGCGGGACTGCCCCTCCTGAGGACACATTGTCATGCCTCTTTCAGCTAACACTGGCTGGAGATATTTCTTATGGAGGTGCACTTTGAGTTCTTTGACAAAAGCATGTAATTTCTGGTTAACCTCTTGCAACAAGCTCTCCCTACCTCCCCAGCCCCAGGTCCTGCTCCCGTGTAGTCTCCTAGCCTCTTATTAATGAAGTCCCCCACTCCCAGCAGGCAGTTTTCTCCAGTGGGTTCATTCTAGATGCTTGGGTGTGGGTACCAGCAGCAGGACATAAGTGCATCATCCCCCAGTGAGCCAAATGGTGGATGTGCACACATTCCCACTCCATCCTCTCCTTAGCCTGCCATTGCCAGGGGAAGGGAGAGGTCTCTAACCAGCTTCCTGTCTTCCAAATCTTCCAAATTCAGCAGACTCTAGATTTTTCTATTTGTGAATGCTTCCAAGCTTCAGGACATAAAAAAAAACAAAAACAAACAAAAAAAAAAACAAAAAAAAACACCCACCTGTGTGGCTCTCAGTTGCAGGTCTCTACCCCCAGGTTAGCTGCTCCAGGGCCAGGCTTCAGGCAGCTAGGGAGCTCTCAGCTGTGGGTCTCTACCCCCAGGTTAGCTGCTCCAGGGCCAGGCCTCAGGCAGCTAGGAAGCTCTCAGCTGTGGGTCTCTACCCCCAGGCTAGCTGCTCCAGGGCCAGGCCTCAGGCAACTAGGGAAGGCCCTGCACTTTACTCACACTCACCAGTCCCTTGTGAGCCAGGCCTGTTCCACTTGCCTGCTCATTCTTCCCCCTGAAAACCACAGTCACAACTTCCCCCCTCCACTTTCCCCTCATGACTTCTGCCCCCACCCCCACCGTGGTGTTTCTGTGAGGCCCCATGGGGCCTGTGGGGCCTGCCCTCCTCTGGGTCAAGGAATCTGCCACTGTAAGTCTCTTCTTTTATGACACTCATTTCTGTGCCCGTGTGTCCCACCATACCTGCTTAGAGCAAATCCCAGGTTTATTTTATTTTTTTATTTAATTTTTTAAAAGGATTTTATTTATTTGAGAGAGACAGAGAGAGACTGTAAGCAGGAATAGCCACAAGCAGAGTGAGTAGCAGACTCCCCACTGAGCAGGGAGCCCGATGTGGGGCTCGACCCCAGGACCCTGAGATCATGATCTGACGGCAGATGCTTCACCCACTGGGCCTCCCAGGTGCCCCCCCAAGTATATTTTTAAACAATTTGGTCAACTTTATCCCTACATTTTCAGAAGAATGAATAAAAGCTAACAAATTAAAAAAAAAAAAGACCAAAAAATCACCTAAAAACAAAATGAAGCTAACCACAGCAAAAATACTTTGAATGTACAAGGTGTCTGTCTGCCTGTGTTGGAATCTTATGTGCATTAGAAGATGTTGAAAAAGACAGTTGCTGCTTATCAAGGTGGTATCTCAGGCTCAAAGCCGAAGGCAGGATGTTTTACACAAGCCCCTTGTGTTACTCTAAGGTGGATAATAACATGTGAAGTCAGACATCTTCCCAAAGGATTTGGTCAGTAAGGGGAACAGCAGCCCTGCTTACAGGAAGGAGCACCCACCTCATCCCTCCACTGCCCTGTGCCCTCCTGGGTGACCCCGATGTGAAACCAGCCCCAGGCCAACCGTGTCTCCACTAGCATGGACTGCACTGGAGAGGTCTTGGAGGTTGGGGGCCTTGCCTGCAATCAGAGTCTTCAGAGTGGGCAACCCCAGCAGTGGCCAGGGCCTGCAGAGTGGGATGGGACCTGGTGCGGTTCACCTGGACAGGTGGTACAAGTCCACTTGGTTACATTCTGCACAGTGTTCAGGGGGAGGGACCGGCACCCTCCTCTGACCAGGCGGACTGCTCTCCAGTGCTGTTCTGGACTCCTAGGAAGAACGACGAGCCCCCACGGGAGGCCCAAACCTCAGGGCGGGCTCCTCCATTGGGAGATGGCCAACGCTTTGTGCTCAGAACAAGTGCTTTAAGGGGATTGAAGTTTGTTTCGCTGCTGACACAACTCTGCTGTCAGCACCATCCCTGTGGACCTAGTAAACCCTGGACTCCACTCTCAGCAGGGCTGCTAACACTGGACGTTCTTTCTTGTTACTACTGAATAGGCTCCACACCAAGTGGAACCCCAGCCTGGGGCTTGAACTCACAACCCTGAGATTGAGACATGACTGAGGCCAAGGGTCGGATGCTTACCTCATTGAGACACCGAGGCCCCCCCATCCCTCACTTTCTAATTTAATTGTCTCTCACTACCCATTGTACTGTCATTATAGTTGTATGTGGTGGCTGGTGGGGTCTCTCCTGCATGAGGCTGCCTGTTACGCTGTCATCTATGAGGTGTTCTGGCCAGCTGAGGCCTTAGATCAACATCCTGTGTTGACAGATGTGTAGCCTCGGGACAGATGTGCAGGCCTCAGGGGTCAGGAGTGCAGACCTCAGGGTTCAGAAGTGGAGGCCCCAGGGGGAAAGAGGTGCAGGCCTCAGGGAGACAGGTGTGCAGGCCTCCATGGTGGCCAGATGTGTAGGCCTCAAGGGGACAGATGTGCAGGCTTCTAGAGTCAGAAGTGCCGGCCTCAGGGGTCAGAAGTTCAGCCTCAGGGAACAGATATGCAGACCTCAGGGAGTCAGATGTGGAGGCCTCATGGGGACAGATGTGCTACCTCAGGGGCCAGATGTGCAGGCCTCAAGGGTCAGAAGTGCAGGCCTCAGGGGTCAGGAGTGCAGGCCTCAGGGGGACAGATGTGGAGGCCTCATGGGGCCAGATATGCAGGCTTCAGGGGGACAGATGTGTAGGCCTCAGGGGGCCAGATTTGCAGGCCTCAGGGGTCAGAAGTTCAGGCTCAGGGGGACAGATGTGCAAGCCTCCGGGGTGGCCAGATGTGCAGGCTTCTAGGATCAGAAATACCAGCCTCAGGGGTCAAAAGTTCAGCCTCAGGGAAACAGATATGTAGGCCTCGGGGGACAGATGTGCAGACCTCAGGGGCCACAAGTGCAGGCCTCAGGGGGACAGATGTGCAGGCCTCAGGGGGACAGAAGTGTAGACCTCAGGGGGACAGAAGTGTAGACCTCAGGGGGCCAGATGTGCAGGCCTCAGGGGGACAGTCCTGGAACACCCTGCATGGAGCCACCGAGAAGCAGCTGGCCCAAAGCAGAAGGCGGGACCTGAGCGGGGCGCCGGTGGTCCCTGCAGTGTGCGGGATGGCGTGCCTGCGGGTGACAGCGAGGCTCCAACCGCTCCCCCTACTGCGTGAACCCTGGTTGGAGGCTGTCTCACACCAGCGGTGCCAGAACGCATCCCTGGGGCCAAAGGGAAAGTCTCAGCGTGAGCTGAGCTGAACGTCTCTAGGGAGTTTGTGTGGCGCCGCCTCAGTGGGGTCAAAGGTGTCACGGGGCTGCCGTCGGATGTGCTCACTTGTGGCAGATGCGTGCTGCAGGGCTGGGCTCAGAGTCCGGACCACCGGCATCTGTGCTTCACTTTGAAAATGCTCAGCAAGTGCAGCAGGTGTGGGTGTGAGTGGGTGAAGCGAGGCAGGTAGCGCGTGGGGGGAGGGCGTGTGCATGGGGAGAGGGTGCGAGGAATCCCTGAAGCCGCTGCCCCGTCCGGGAGCGTTCGTCTTATTATCGAGAGAGACTTTTCTGTGGGGGTGCTGGGGTGGCTCACTTGGTTGAGCGTCAGACTCTTGATCTCAGCTCGGGGCTTGATCTTAGGGTCATGAGTTCGAGACCCGTGTCGGGCTCCTTGCCAGGTATGAGGAATACTTGAGAAAATAAAAATGAAAATAAGCCACCTGGTGTGTGCACTGGGCAGCTTTGAGTCCGTGGGAAGGTGTGCTTGGTCACTTGGGCAAGGCCGCCTGCCCGGCCCACCCGCAGGTCCTAAAAGCCGAGCCGGTGCGGGGGTGACACGCAGCTCTGGCAGCCGAGGGGCCGCTCCCCACGTGGTCTGTGCGCCCGCTGCTGCGCCCTGGGCCGCTGGGAGCTGACGTCCCACCTGCGGCTGATGCACCCCCCACGAGCGGCCCAAAGCATCTGCGGCTGGTGTCGGTCCCGTCCTGGTACGGAGGCCGCTGCCCTGTCCCGTGTTGAGGCCTCGTGGCCGTGGGAGTAGTTAGGCCACCCCGTGCATGACAGAAGGAGAACAGATGAGGCTGTGAGACTCGGTCTGCGCAGCGCTGTCGCCTTCCTCGTAGGCCCTGGGCTGCCTCAGTCCCGCAAGGTGAAGCCACGGTCCGGCCCGGCAGGTGTGGCTGTCACTGTCACCTCAAATCGGGGCAACTGGGGGCGACAGGGACTTGGGGTCTGGCGGCCGAGAGCACGTGGCTGATCCGCGCAGCCCAGGGCCTGGGCGGGAGGGCGTGAGGGCCACGGGGACCCCGGCAAGCCATCCGGTTCAGGCCC